TGTGTATTAATATTTTCCCTCAAATCTGGGGAGTTTTCGGCCATTATTTCTTCTAATATTCTTTCTGCCCCTTTCTCTCTCTCTCCTGTCCTTCTGGACTACCATTATGTGTATGTTGGTATGCCTGATGATGTCCCACAGATCTCAAGTTCTGTTAATTTTTCTTCTTCTTTTTCTCCCTGTTCCTGAGACTGGATAATCTCAACTGACTTATCTTCAAGTTCACTGATTCTTTCTTTTGCCTACTCCAATCAGCTGTTTAGCCCTACTAGTGAATTTTCCATTTTAGTTATTGCACTTTTAAACTCCAGAATTTCTATTTGGTTCTTTTCTACAATTTTTATCTCTTTCTTGATATTCTCTATTTGGTGGGACATCATTCTCATACTTTCCTTTAGTTCTTTTTGATTAGGTTTCCTTTAGTTTTGTGAACATATTTAAAATAGCTGGTTAAAGTCTTCCTCCAGTAAATCCAAAGTCTGGGCTTCCTCAGTGACAGTCACTACTGATTGTTTTTTATCCCGTGTATAAATTACCCTTGCTAGTTTCTTTGCTTGCCTCATAATATTTTGTTGAAAATTGGACAATTTAAATAATTTAATTTGGCAATTCTAAAAATTAGATTCTTCCCTTCCCTAGGGTTTTTGGTTGTTGCTGCTTTTTGTTGTCTGTTTGTTCAGTGACTTTAATAACTTCTGTAAAATATTTTTTGTCATATATAGCCACTGAAGTTTCTGCTCAATTAGCTTAGCGGTCAACTGGACGGAGATTTCCTTAACTGCCTGGAACTAACATATCTGCCAGTCTTTGCTAAGGGGCTCAGTATACATGTTGGGGCACTCAGTCAGGCAGTTTACAACTCCACCTTAGCCTTCACTTCCTTCTTGCACAGATCCTTGAGGTTAGCCAGAAGTGAGAGCTTAGGGTCTTCTCCAGTCTTTCCTGAGAATATGTGCAGTCCTATCCATGCATGTGACTTTCTAGTTTCCCAGGAGTATACTAGACATTTTCAAAGCTCTCTATGAACATCTCATTCTTCATCTTTTCAAGTTTTTGGTTAATTTTTGTTTGTCCCAATTGTTATCATCACCTCAGTCAGCTGTGCTGTTAAACAATTGTCACAGACCATTTTTGACAAATGCCCCCACGGAAAAGACTATTTGCACTGGGTGAGCTCTGAGTCAAGTTAAATAAAGGCAAAACTTTCAAGTGGGATTTTCCAGAAAACTGCCAAGTCAAATAAAGTCAATCATCTGAGAATGGGGCTTTGAAAGAGCTCCAGTTCCATTCTAACCCCTCCAGTGGCTGCTGGGCGGCCCGTTGACACCATGATTGTGAACTGTTGGTTTTCACGGGTACCATGGAGCTGAGGAGAAGAAGGTCGGATTAGGTCAAATTAAAGTGTTACAAAGCTCATTGTTCTTGCTGAGATTCAGCCATTTTTCTTGAATAAATGCTCCCTAGATTGCTGTAAGTATTTGGTTACTGTCCAGGGTTCTGAAAAATGCTGATTTTAACCATTTTTGCCAGTATTCTCATTGGTTTATGGAAGAGAGGATTTTGGATGTCCTTATTCTGCCATTCCCAATAATGCCACTCTTTCCCCTTGTTTTTAAGTTTCTTTGAAAGACATTAGATTGCTTAAAACAATAATAGTAGTATACTGTAGGTTTATATTTTTAGTAGTAAATGCATGACAAAAATAGCACAAAGGATAGGAAGGGCTAAATGGATATATGCTGTTGTAAAGATGTTACATTATACATGAAGTTGTATAAATTATTTGAAGGCATATGGTGCTAAGTTGAAGGTGTATGTTGTAAATCCAAGAGTAACCATTAATCACAGCCTCCACCAGCCTGAGACCAGAAGAACTAGATGGTGCCTGGCTACCACTACTGACCACTCTGACCAGGATCATAATAGAAGGTCCTGGTTAGAGTGGGGGGAAAAATGTAGAAGAAAATTCAAATTCATAAAATAGACCAGATTTACTGGTCTGAGAGACCGGAGGAACCCCTGAGACTGTAGCCCTTGGACACTAACTTGGAACTGAAGCCATTCCTGGAGATCATCTTTCAGCCAAATAATAGACAGGCCTATAAATAAACAATAACACAAGTGAGGTAAGTGCTCCTTAGAACAATCATCTACATGAGACCAAAAGCACAACATATGCCCAAAACCAAAGATGAGAAGGCAGGAAAACCAGATGAATGGAAATAGGGAACTCAGGATGATAATGGGGAGAGGGCTGACACTTTGCGGGAGGTGCAACCTATGTCATGGAACAATCTGTGTATAAACTATTGAATGGGAAACTAATTTGTCCTGTAAACCTTCACCTAAAGCACAAAAAAAAAATTTTTTTAAGAAAATTCCAGTAGAAAAAAGAAAATAGAATACTAAAAAAAATGCACCATTACAAAGATGGCAGGAAAAAAAGAAAACCAAAGAACAGATGAGACAAACAGAAAACAAACAGCAAGGCAGTGCATTATACTGCAACTATAAGTGTGTGTATCTATCTCTTACTAGATTGTGAGCTTACTAAATTTGAATGAAAAACTGAAATAAATGAAAGTTAATTGCTGTACTGAATACATTATTACTTCTTTTTTATGTGGTAAATATTCTGTTTTTAATTTTTATTGTGGTAAAATATATATAACATACAATTTGCCGTTTTAACTATTTTTAAGTGTACAACTCACATTCACAATGTTGTGCAACCATCACCACCATCTATTTCCAAACTTTTCTTATCATGCCAAACAGAAACTCTGTACCCATTAAGGACTAACTCTCCCTTCCCCACTTCCCCCAGCCCCTGATAACCTCTAATCTTCTTTCTGTCCCTATGAATTTGCCTATTCTAGATATTTCATATAAGTGGAATCATAAAATATTTGTCCATTTGTGTCTAGCTGATTTCACTTAGCATAATGTTTTCAAGGTTCATTCATATTGTAGCATGTATTAGAATTCCATTCCTTTTTATGGTTTAATAATATTCCATTATGCATACATACATACATATATATGTTGTTGTTGTTGTTATGTACCATTGAGTCGGTTCCAACTCATAGTGACCCTATAGGACAGAGTAGAGCTGCCCCCATAGGGTTTCCAAGGAACAGCTGGTGGAATCGAACTGCCAACCTTTTGGTTAGCAGCCAAGTTCTTATGAACATTAGCGTGTAAGAAGTAACTACTTTCAATTCTTTTGGGTACCTACCTAGCAGAACTGTTTGGCTGCTAACCAAAATGTTGGCAGTTCAAATCCACCAGCAGCGCCTTGGAAACCCTATGGGGCAGTTCTACTTCATCCTATAGGGTCACTATGAGTTGGAATTGACTCGCCGGCAACTGGTTTGGTTTATGGTAATTGCATGTTCAACTCTTTGAGGAACCGCCAAACTGTTTTTCCACAGTGGCTACACCATTTTACATTCCCACCAGCAATGGACAAGGATTCCAGTTTCTCCACATCCTTGCCAACATTTCCTATTTCCCTATAATTTTTTTTTTTTTATATAATGGCCATTTTAGTGGATTAGAAGTGGTATCTCATTGTGGTTTTGATTTGATTTTCCTAATGACTAATAATGTTGAACATCTTTTCATGTGCTCACTGGCCATTTGCGTATCTTCTCTGGAGAAACGTCTATTCAAATCCTTTGCCCACTTTTTAATTGGGTTGTCTTTTTCTTGTTGAGTTGTAGTTCTTCATATATTCTGGATATTAAGCCTTTATTATACATATGATTTCCAAATAGTTTCTCCCATTAGGTAGGTTGTCTTTTTACTTTCTTGATAATGTCCTTTGATACACAAAAGTTTTAATCTTTATGAAACCCAACTTACCATTTTTTTACGCAAATAACGCACGCCTTCTACATTTGTTTGCCAACCACTCCCTCCCCCTGCAAGGTATTTTCAGAAGTGGCACTATGCCAGTTTTTTTTTACATACTGCTATAAAAAAATATTAGCATAGTGCGCTTATGAAAATACCTTACAGCAAAAAGGAGTGGTTGGCAAACAAATGAAGAAGGTGCACGTTATTTGCATTAAAATCCAGTATCTATTTCTTCTTTTGTTGCCTCTGCTTTTGGTGTCATATCTAAGAATCCATTGCCAAATACAAGGTATTGAAGATTTACCCCAATATTTTCTTCTATAGGGTCACTATGAGTCAGAATTGACATGATGGCAATGGGTACGTGTTTCTTCTAGAATTTTTATGGTTTTAGCTCTTATATTTAGGTCGTCAATCCATTTTAAGTTAATTTTTGTATACAGTATTAAATCTAAGTTCCCTATATTGGAATTTGTGAGAATTTATAAAACTTTACTTAATTAATATAATAAGACAATAATACAGAAAAAGCTCAAAATCCCCCATCTTCATAAAAATAAGTCACAGAATTTAGTGCTAAAAGTTATTTTAGAAATTGCCTTGTACAATTTCTTCATTTTACAATTACAGAAACTAAGAATCAAAGTGAGTAAATGACTAACTGATAATTAATTGAAATAGTCACATGGTTAGTCACCAGCAGAGCGAATAGTAAGACTGATATTTTTAACTTCTACTTTAGGTCTCTCAAGAGAAAAAAATTTCCATGCAATACCAATCACATACACAACTACATATAATGTGCTTGCTTCAAATGATTCTTATCTAGCAGGTCTAGCAAGATGTCTATTTGGCAACATTTTGTTACTTAAGTTGTATACCTATCTGAAAATAGTCATGCTTTCAAAAATATATATCGTTTAGAGTTCCAATTAATTCAAATTATTACCAATTAATATGGATTACTGAAGTGTTTTGTACTTAAAGGAAAATAGAAAACACTGTGACTAAACAACCATTTAAAAGACCAGCCACCAAGTTCAGGGAATATAATCTTTCATTTAAATCAATGACTAAATCAGTTACACTTATGCTAAAAATGACAATAAAAAATATATTAAATCTGTGTGTAGTATTACCTGTGGCTCCCAGTGGGTGTCCTTTTGCAATCAATCCACCACTAGGATTTATGACCCACTTTCCTCCGTAAGTATTATCTCCTCTATCAACCAGTTTTCCACCTTGTCCTAGGGAAGGAAAAATAATATTCACAAATGTTAAAAATTACGTTGCAACAAATGATTTTTTTTTTTTTTTTTTTTTAATTTCTAGGTTACAGCCAAGAATTTCTTGGAGCAAACATTTCTTAACAGCTCAAACTAACATCAATTTGATATAAGCACTTCTAAAATTTAGGTGATAAATACTGAGTAATAAGGCCTCATATTTTCAGAATATTTTCTGCATGAAAAAAAGCTCCCATGAGCTCCTAAGATTGCTCCAAATATAACAGAAAGTCAGAAGTAAAAATTGAAACTGATAAAATACTATATCTAAAATAATTAAAGCAGCTGTAGAAGTTCAAATTTTTACAAAATATATTCACATCCCTCCATTTTCAAATGTGCTGCCGTATACTATATAAATATGTGTAATACACAGAAAAAGAAACATAAAAAATGAGCACTTATATGAAACGAAGCTGGCTAAAAATACTGTTGTGTCATAAAATTAAGCTTTAAAAAGCAGTTATACCACATTAAGGCCTCCCCATTCCTGTCAATTCTATGGTTATTCTTCTAGGTGGTTTAGAAGTAAATAAAAATGCATGCATTGTATAAAATATTCTTTCGGCTGATATTTCTGATAAAGTAGTAAGAGGTAGGAGCTCCAAAAAATGACACAGTGGTGGTGGTGTTGCTGTCAGAGGCAGCTAATTGCTTTTGAGTACCTACTCTGCGTCAAGACTTGTTCTGAGTATCTTACATATATTTACATAGTTTAACCTTCAACCGTATGAAGTAGGTACTATAATTCCCATTTTACAGATGAGAAAACCAGCACTGAGATGTTAAGTCATCAGCCCAGAGTCACAGCAGGGCATCTAAGATTGGTACTCAGGTAGCCTAGCTCCAGAGCACATGTTCTTAACTAATACATAGTCTTCAAAAACGAAAAAGTCTCTCTACGAGCAAAATGAAATACATAAATCACAGAATTTTAGGTGGCTAACACTTCTATTTTGGCTTAAAATCTAGATTGTAGATTTAAAATCTTTGGTTCAGGCATTCTGTCTTTTAATTTTTGGTGTGTTTCTGACTTACAGTCCGATACGAGGCTCCAGGCATAGCAGGTCTTTATTGAAACACAATTTGAAGATTAGAATTTGAAATAGTTAGGTTCCATGGTGTTATGGTTAGCATTCTGGACTCTGAATCCAGTGAACTGAGTTTAAATCTCGATGAAACCTACAGTTCAGTTTTTCTCCTTTTGGAGCCCTGGTGGTGCAGTGGTTAAGAACTTGGCTGCTAACCAAAAGACTGGCAGCTCGAGTCCACCAGCCGCTCCTTAGAAACCCTATGGGGCAGTTCTACTCTGTCCTATAGGGTCACTATGAGTCAGAATCAACTTGATGGCAATGGGTGTTAGAATTACATGGTGCTTTCAAAACTGCTAAGTGTTATTACTGTACCCAATAATAGCAGACTGAGCACAAGGCAACCCCAAGAAGTGAATTATTTACCACGTTTTTTTTTTTCTTTAATATATACAATCTTGTGAAGTATTAGAAGATTCCAGAAGGAAGCTATCTTGAACTTGTTAACTAAAAAATCCAGAGATAGGAGTATTGGAAATAACCATTCTCATATACCACAGATAGAAAAATAAATTTGTATACTTTGTGCTTAGTAATAGAGACTCAAAATAAATGAAGCAAAAATTGACAGAATTAAAGGAGAATTGTCTATTTCTCAACCTGATAAATGGCATTAACAAAAACCTACAGTTAACCTCATACTTAATGGTAAAAGACTAAATTGTATCCCCTAAGACTGGGAACAAGGTGATGATGTCCACTTTCACCACTTCTATTCAGTATGGTACTAGAGATCACAGACATTGCAATAAGGCAAGAATTAAAAAAAAAAAAAGAAAAAAAAAGGTAAAAAGATTGGAAAGGTAGAAGAAATAAAACTGTCCTTATTAGCAGATGATATCATTGTTTATAGCAAAACTTCCACAAAATCTATATAACCACTGGAGTTAATAAATTAATTTAGCAAGGTCATAGGATACAAGTTTTTTAATCAATTGTATTCTTAAATGTTTTCAGCAACCAACTGGAAAATGAAGGTAAAGAAAAAAATTTATGGCAAAAATATAAAATATCTAAGAAAAAATCTTATATAAGACACTCAAGACCAATACTGAAAACTACAAAACATTCTGACAGAAATTAAAGAAGAGTTAAATAAATGAAAAAATATACCATTTAATGGATTGAAAGATTCAATATTGTTAAGATGGCAATTCTCTACTTTGATCTATACCAAACCAAACTCGTTGCCATTGAGTTGATTCCAACTCATAGTGACCCTACAGGACAGAGAGAGCTACCCCATAGTGATTCCAAGGCTCTAATCTTTACGGAAGCAGACTGCCACATCTTTCTCCCACAGAGCAGCTGGTGGGTTTGAACTGCCTACCTTTCAGTTAGCAGCTGAGTGCTTAACCACCCACCAGGGCTCTTTAACTGATCCATACATTCGATGAAATCCCAATGAAAATTCCACTTTTTTTTTTAAGAAACTGACAAATTTATTCTGATACGTACATGAAAATGAAAAGGACCAAGAAGAACCACAACAATTAATTCAAATGTATCAATTCTTCTTCATTCTTCCTTATTCATTGTCCAGCTTTCACATGCATATGAGACAACTGAAAATACCATGGCTTGGGGCATGCACATCTTAGTCCTCAAAGTGATACCTTTGCTTTCTAACACTTTAAAGAGGTCTGTTGTAGCAGATCTGCACAATGCAATGCATTGTTTGATTTCTTGACTGCTGCTTCCATGGGCGTTGATTGTGGATCCAAGTAAAATGAAACCCTTGACAACTTCAGTATTTTCTCCATTTATCATGATGTTGCCTATTGGTCCAGTTGTGAGGATTTTTGTTTTCTTTATGTTGAGGTGTAATTCATACTGAAGGCTGTGGTCTTTGATCTTCATCAGTAAGTGCTTCAAGTCCTCTTCACTTTCAGCAAGCAAGGTTGTATCACCTGCATATTACAGGTTGTTAATGAGTCTTCCTCCTATCCTGATGCTGCGTTTTTTTTCGTATAGTTTAGCTTCTCAGATTTTTTGCTCAGCATACAGATTGAATAAGTATGGTGAAAGGATACAACCATGATGCATACCTTTCCTGATTCTAAGTCACCCAGTATCCCTTTGTTCTGTTCAAATGACTGCCTCTTGGTCTATGTACAGGTACATGGTCATGCTCTTCCTATGAGCACAATTAAGTGTTTTGGAATTCCCATTCTTCGCAATGTTATCCATAATTTGTTATGATCCACACAGTTGAATGCTTTGCATAGTTAATAAAATACAGGTAAACATTCTTCTGGTATTCTCTGCTTTCAGCCAAGATCGATCTGACATAAGCAATGATATCCCTCATTCTACAACCTCTTCTGAATCTGGCTTGAATTTCTGGAAGTTCCCTGTCGATGTACTACTTCAACAGTTTTGAATTATCTTCAGCAAAATTTTACTTGCATGTGATATTAACAATATTGGTCAATAATTTCCACATTCGGTTGGATCACTTTTCTTTGGAATGGGCACAAATATGGATCTCTTCCAGTCATTTGACTGGGTAGCTGTCTTCCAAATTTCTTGGCATAGATGAGTAAGCACTTCCAGTGTCGCATCCATTTGTTGAAACATCTCAACTGGTATTTTGTCAATTCCTGGAGCCTTGTTTTATGTCAATGTCTTCAGCGCAGCTTAGACTTCTTCCTTCAATACCATTGGTTCTTGATCATATGCTATATATATATGTGTGTGTGTGTGTGTATATACATAATTGATTTTTGACAAAGGTACCAATGGGGAGAAAAAAGTCTCCCCAACAAATGGTACTGTATATTGTATGGGAAAAAAAAATCAACATCAACTTTTATTTTACACCATACCCGAAAACTGACTTAAAATGGATCATATACTTAAATGTAAAACCTAAAACTCTAACACTTCTAGAATAAAAATAGGAAAAAAAACTTTTAGGACCTTGGAATAGGCAAAAGTTTCTTAGAATACAAATAACATGAACCATGAAAGAAAAGAATTGATAAACTGTACTTGATCAAAACTAAAATTTTTCATTCTTCAAGAGACACTATTAATAAAACAAAAAGACAAGACATAGACTGGGAGAAAATATTCACAACATACATATGTCAGACAAATGCCTTGTACCCATAATATATAAAAAGAAAAACCAAACAAACAAAAAACTGTTACAACATAATAGAGAAGACAACCCAATAATAAAATGGCAAAATATCTGAACAGACATTTCACAAAAGATACATGAATGACCAATAAGCACATGAAAAGATGCTCAAAACATCACCAGTCATCAGGGATATGCACATTAAAATTACAATAAGATACCAATATACACTCTTTGACCAGCTGCCATAGAGACGATTCCAACTCATAGTGACCCCATGTGTGCCAGAGTGGAACTGTGCTCCATAGGATTTTCAATGGCTGATTCTTTTGGAAGCAGGATCGCCAGGTCTTTTCTCCTAAGGTGCCTCTTGGTGGACTCAAACCTCCAACCTTTCGATTAGCAGCCAAGCGCATTAACTGTTTGCGCTACCCAGGGACTCCATACACTCTTTTTAGAATGACTGAAATTAAAAAACTGACCATGTCAAGTGTTGGCAAGGAGGTGAAGCAAATGAAACTGTCTTACACTGCTGGTAGTAAAGGAAAATGATAAACCACTTATGAAATAAGAAGAAAAAAAAATCCTCCAGATCCCACCAACTAGTTTTTCCATTTTTCTTCCTAAAAGTCTTTATTCAAACACAATTGGAAATAGTTGGAATTACATATTTAATTTTATATCCTTTCTTTCCCATTTAACAGTTCAAGTACCCTTGACTTAAATGATTTGTACAATCAGTGAACATTTCAGTGTTGGTATTGTCCAAGACTGCATGTTCTACAAAGTCCAGCACCAAGACAGTTTATACTCACTTTGCACAGTGTGGGAGGGCCACCACAGAGGGGAAGGAAATTAGTAGATTATTTTATTTAATGGTGAGTAAAGTTTTCTCAGTGAAATTTAGCAAGTTAACCTGCCCTCTTCAAAGATATTACCTTCTGGACAGAGTCCCAGTGCTTCATAACTAAGGAGTTCATTTGAAGAAAAGCAATCATGAAGTTCTATTACATCTATATCACTTGGTCTCAGGCCAGATTTCTCATAGCACTTTCTGGCAGCTTCTTTAGTCATATCAAAACCAACCTAAAACCAAAACCATATATAAATTAAAGACAGCAAAACTGGGCGTTTTAGATGAGTAAATTTTATAATGTATATGTATGATTAATGTATGCATAACTTTAACAGCTGAGAATTAACCACACACATTAAAATCTCAGTTGATCTATATTACACAGAAAGTCCAAATAAAATAATATTCAGGAGGGAGAACATACATATTAAATTTCATACTATAAAGGACCGAGTGTTAAATAAAATATATGAAAAGGACTTGTAATTCTTAGGTCATATCTCGTGGTAAGTTACAAAACTCTATTAAACCACAATGTAATAGTTGTGGTAAACAGTTGAAGGGTTTTATCAACAAATCATTATGATTCAGATACACTGAAAAATACGGAGGACTTTCTATATGAAAATACACAATCGTCTTTTAGAAGATCCTGTAAGATTCAAACCATGTGTTCCAAAGTCCATGCTCTTAACACCTCTTTGTTCTCAGATAATAAAAGAAGATGCAAACTTTTCTTCAAGGAATAAAACTGTGGTGTCATGCAAAGTGTACTGTAATCAGAAAATCTGAGTATAAGTTCCACCTCTCCCACACCTTAACTTGGTGATTTGGGTAAGTTATAGGGACATTTCCAAATTCACAGCATTGTTATAAAATCATTTTGTTTATACATACATGTGTGTTTATATAGATAATATATATGTGTGTATGTATTTTCAAATATTCAACTAACTCAAGGTCTGAATTTTCATCCTTTTTCCTTCCTCCATTTTCTATTCAATCTCATATAAGGATTTTTGAAGTGTTGCGGGTAGACAAAATTCACTGAAAAATCCCTGTTTTTCCCCTAACTGCAAGGTTGGAATTCTGGGCATATTTAGTCAACTCAAAACAAAAATAAATAGCATGTCTAGTAATTAAAAGTTATCATATAATGGTGCATGGCTCCATCGTAGGAAGCATCTGTTCTCATCAGTTGTTTTCCTGTAACAGATTCTTAAGGATGGGTTACAATACTAAAATTTCTAGACCGTCATTTTTCAACAGCTTCCAGAGCTAATGACAACATGGTGTCACCTTGAAATTGTAAACAGCAATCCCTCAGTTTGATTAATAAAACAGAATCTCAGATATACCATTTTGATAACGCTTTTTTCTTCAAACGAGCTTGGTAAATCAGTCACCATCTCTTGTGCCAAAATTTCCACAGCTTTAGATTGCAGGCCGTATTTCTGGACGAATGCTTCACTAGCCAAAACTGCCGCGGCAGCACCGTCTGAAGTGGGACTGAGAGGAAGTAAAAGTGATTATTTACACCCGGCAACCTCAATCCTAGGATTCCAGACTAGGAGGTCTGTCCATGTGGGGAGACAGGCCAAGCATGCTTACTGGTCAGCAGACTGTCTTCTTTGCGCTATCTACGGTTAAAAATTGCACAGGCTTCCCACCTGAAGGCTGAATCTCTATCAAGAACTTAAATGTTGCCAATCACCACTCCTTGGTCTCTGTCTCTCCCAAAAAGTTCTTACTGAAAATAACCCTGGATTTGCCTCTGCAGATGCATAAAGCATCTTCTGGTCACTTCTGAAGAGTGAGTTCACAAGATTATTAATAAAGATTCTACTACCGGCCTATGTAGTGCCAATTTTGCTATCTCCCAAATAACTCTGCCCTGGAATCCTTTTGGAAACTGAGAAAGTGCATGCTTTGGTTAAGACTCTTGAGACCTCCTCAAGATAGATCAGTCCTCATAGAGCAAGCTGTGGAGGCGAGTGGCAAACACAAGAAGCTCTCTGCAAGTTCAGCTGGACTTTCTAAACGGGCAGACCCTCACGTTGCTACTGATAAAAGCTGAACCACTTGTTCCCTTCCACCCCAGGCAGCATCTCCAGGGCACAGCCTGGTGTGAACTAGATCCCAGGCAGGAGCTATACAGCAATTACTCAATCTTCTAGGGTACAGATACTGTCAAGCAATTTTCAAGATGAAACTATTATCATTCTTAGAGTTGTGATTTTTTTTCTTGTTTTGCTTTTACTCTCAGCTACTACAAGTGAGTAAAATTCCTATAGTAGAAGTATACAGTGGAGAAAACAAAATACTCAAGAATAAAACCTTTGGCCTGCACTGGCTTCCTAAGTCATTTTAATGAATAAATACAATTAACAGAAATAAAGTAGGTAGAGGTCCTGAGAGAAAAAAGCAAAACATGTAATTATCCAAAAGAAGAGGCAGCCTGTCTCTAGCAAGAGTAGAGAGTAAGGGTACTTTAATGAAGGTAATTCAGAGTTGGGGCTACATTCCTAGGAGTTCTATGAAAGCCATACCCAGAGATAGGGCCTAAGGTTTACCCCACAGCAGGAAGGGTGGGGAGGACAGCAGTTCCATCTCTCTATTAAATATTAAAATGTGTTTTTCTTACCAACATTGTAAGACAGTCAAAAAATTAAAAACTTCTCGAGATTCCATCACTTCATCTAAACTGTACTCCTTCTGGGACTGGGAATATCTAAACACAAAATAAGTAGTTAGAATGTGAGGTAGCAATTGCAATTTTGTTGAGATGTTCTTGACCAGAAGTTTAAAAAGAGAATAAAATGCAAATACTCTTTTCACAACCAAAAGGCGGACTTTTATGAATAGTTTCAACCTTTAAAAAATAAATCATTTGAATTTTGAGTTAAAAAAAAAAATCCTAACTCCAAAATACCATACCTATCCCCCCAACCCCCTACCCTGCCGGAGAATTAAAAATGTTATTCCTTAAAAGCAAAATTAAATGACTTGCAGTTCAGCTAACTTTTGTGGTGATGATATTATGTAAGTACGTTAAACGAAAGCTAATGAAGCTCTTAATATATAAAACCTGTAATAAATTATCCACATTCTTCAAAGCATATTTCTCTTCTCATCACTGCAGAAGAAACTTACTTTTATCTCCTTTGGCTCCTCTAACAATATAATCAGATGGTTTCTGAAAACTCTGCTGTGACCAAAACAGCAGCATCAAGAAACACCACAGAGGAGTTTCTAAAATCTAACTTCAACAGGTATGGGAATTAATGAGCAATTCAAACGCTTAAAGGATAAAGCCTGTGTGACTTAGACCTGCATGCCAGTGTCTGTACTTTTGCTTCTAAAGTTAACTTTGATCATTGCCAACTTTCAAAAAAAACACCTTATACATGCTAGATCCTGTCCTGGGCACTGGGGACATGGGCACAGTCCTGATCCTCAAGGAACTCAGCCTTACTCTGTGGCAAGCAAACACACAATTCTCATATGATACGACAAATGCTATGATAGAAATGTTATCCAAGGTGCTGTGGGAGCACACAGATGTGCAGCAAGCTCAGGAGCCAGACAGGACCTCCTCTATGAGGTTAGACAAAGAAGAGGAAGTGGAAGAGAAAGAATTCTTGGTAGAAGGAGCAGCACACACAAAGCCTCTTGAGATGAAACAGTTCCTTGGGAACAGTTTGGGAGGGAACGGGAGGCAAGGTGAAGAAGATGGGGCAGTAGAGGTGAACAGGGATCAGATCATGAAAGGCCATTTTATGGTGTTTACATTTTATACTGAAAACAATGGGGAACTACTAAAGGATATTAAGTTGAGAAGTCACATGATAGATTTGCATTTCAGCAGGAAGGCTGTGGTATGGAAAAGAGATGATAAAAAGGCATAACCAGAGGCGAGTAAACCAATTCAGGGGTTGTGGCAATTAAGGCAAGAATGTTAAAGGCCTAAAGTAGGGTTTTAGAAGTGAAGGATGGAGAGAAGGGATGAATTTAAGCAATAGAAAGATGGGAGAATCACTAGAACTTCATCCCCAACTGCATATGAAGCATGAGGAAGAAGGTAGAGTCACAGATAACCAGGTGTATGTTGATGTCATTCACCAAGATGGATAACACTGGAGGAAAAACCGGGCTAAGGGGAAATGATATATTCTGTATGGACGTGTTGCACTTGTAGGACATGAGGCACTTGTGGGACATCTAAGTAGAGACGACCAGAAGGAAGATATACACACAGGCTTGAAGGCTCAAGTGTTATGGGCTATCCCTAACCGCATACTACTTACCACAGATTCTCATTGCCTTTAAGTATTCTTATACTTTGTGAGGAAACACTTGAGAACAGTTTCATAATTCAGCCTTCTTAGAAATATGACTGCCCATATGACTTAGAAATATGACAGGTCAGCAGACCCAGAAATCTCTTTCTTCACTAGTCAAGCAAAATTTAGTGTAATGCTGGAAAAGGATGTAGAACAGAATTCTAACTCACAAAAAAAAGACCAGATTTACTGGCCTGACAGACTGGAGAAACCCCGAGAGTACGGCCCCCGGACACCCTTTTAGCTCAGTGGTGAAGTCACTCCCAAAGTTAACTGTTCAGCCGGGGATTGGACAGCCTCATAAAACAAAATGGGACTAATGAGGCACAGCAGTCCAGGGACAAGGACTAGTAGGCAGAAGGGGACAAGAAAGCTGGTGATAGGGAACCCAAGGTTGAGAAGGGACAGTGTTGACATGCCGTGGGGTTGTTAACCATTGTCATAGGGCAATATGTGTACTATCTGTTTAATGAGAAACTATTTGTTCTGCAAACCTTCATCTAAGGTACAAAAAAAAATTATCTATGTGAGATCAAATTGACAACAGCAACTCAAAAGGTTTGAAGGGAAGCCTAGGGGACAGTGAGTTGGAGATAATGGTGATGGAATAATTTGGAAAAGGAGAGTGAGAATAGCAGCACAACTGGAAGAATGTAATCGATGTCACCGAATTGTACATGTAGAAACTTTTGAAATGGTGTAACTTTGGCTATGTATATTTTCACCAAAAAAAAAACAAAACAAAAAAGGGTCCTCCAAGGTCGAGAAGGGAGAATGTCGACTTGTTGTGGGTTGTTAACCAAGGTCATAAAACAATATGTGTGCCAACTGTTTAATGAGAAACTGTTCTGTAAACCTTCATCTAAAGTACTATATATATAAAACTTAGTGTAAGAACTTAGCATTTGAAATTTGTCAGCCAAACCTAGGAGACTTTTCTTGGCCGTTTCAAAGATTTTTAAATGATGAAACTGACATCCAGAAATAATACTTGCCTATTAAACACAATTGAGAGCTTATAATCTGTAATGAAAACTCCATGGGGGCAGGAAGTTGTCTGTCTTGTTCACTGCTGTGTCACAAGCAGCTAAAGCAGTGTCTTACATATAGTAGACTGCTGAATACTTACTTGTTGAACGAACGAATGAAATGTCACAGAAGAATGCTGACATGAGTAGATAAATGAGTGCCTGGTGAGACAGGGAGTTAAATGAGAGGAAGACTTGGAAGCTTTGATTCTCTGGGGAACGTGGAGGGCTGTTCTTTGGAGACTCAAAGCCAAGAAATGCAATGCTATAAGTTCCTCAGCATGCTGCAATAGTTCCTTGCTAGTTTCCAGAAATCACAGAGATTTTTAGTGGTTCTCCAAGTTCTGAGGACAAAGAAATCAGCTCCACACCATCTTTATAGGCTTATGACTGCTCAACCTAATTCTACTATTCAGTAACAGCAAAGTTTTACTGAGCATATACTGTGTTCCAAGCACCCAGCTAGATACTAAGGATATAAAGAGGGGATATAATCTCTGCTCTGAAGTGGTTCATCATCATCATCAGAGGAGAAAGACTCAGAAATAACTAAGTGTGATCCCATGAAATGTGTTATGACAGAGGTAAGCAGAGAGTGCCATAGAGCTCATGAGAAAAGATAATTATACCCAGGAAGCTTTAAGAAGATGTTAAGAGAGGTAATGATATGTGGATTAGGACTTGATGAGTAAGTAGATGTTTATCAAATAGAAGGCAGAAGGCTATCCCAGGGAGAACTATAGCCTAAGTAAAAACACAGAAGCAACTAGTATATAGCACACCGGAGCAAAACCAACTAACCTCGTGAGGCTAGAGCTTGGGAATGTCCGGGGAAGTGGTAGGAAATGAGACTGGCAAAGTAGAATGGGGCCAAATTATAACGGGCCTGCTACCTCATACTACGGAGTTTGAATTTTATCATATAAGCAATGGCAATTCACTACAGCTTTCACAGTACAAATACCTTTAGATCTAGGAAACAGAACTAGATATTATTTTCTAATTAGCTGCATCAAAAAAACCCAAATTCACTGCCGTCGAGTTGATCTGACTCATAGCAACCCTATAGGACAGAGTAGAACTGCCCCGCAGGGTTTCCAAGGAGCGGCTAGTGGATTTGAACTGCCAACCTTTTGGTCAGCAGCTGAGCTCTTAATCACTGAGCCACCAGGGCTCCATATTAGGTGTGTACTGAAGTCAAATATCAATTTAAAATCAGGAGAATGAGGGGAACTAGCAGCAGCATGAAATATTAGGAACATGTGGTAATGATCCATTTGTGGCATAAAACGTTCCTCGCCATGTTTTTTCAATGTGGCAAAATTTGTTTAATAGTTCAGAAACAATTTACTGAGCACCTAGTATGTCCATAAATTAGAATCGACTTGACAGCAACAGGTTTGGTTTTTTGGTTTTTTAAATTATGTTCCAGGCTCTGTACTAAGCATTAAGAGAATAAATGTAAGAGATGGTTTTTGCCCTCAGGGAGTTTATAATCTAGTGGGAAAAAAAATATAAACAGCTTATTTTGACACTACCTAGAATGATCTTGGGCAAGCTACTTTCCGTCTCATTTTCCTCATCTAGAAAATGGGGATAACAATTTTACCTTATGGGGTCCTTGAGAGGATTAAATAAAACTGTACATAAAAGTACCTAGCACAGCAGCACACAGCTGGCACTCAATAAAGGTAGCTAGTATTATTTTATTGCTATTATTATTTTATTATGATATTGCTTCTGTAGTGAATCTAGTTATGTGGCATCAGCTCAAGTCCCAATGGACCAATTTTCTTCAGTAATGATTAAGTACATGCTATGAGCCAGGCATTATGCTAGATACTAGGGATACAAAGATTAACAATCTGTAATATATTTAATGTAATCTTACTTCAGATTGTTTTTAGGACATAAATAATCATATTGCTCTACTAGAGTAAGAGTTAATGAAAGAAATAATTAAAACTTATCCTGTTATTATATGCATTTTACAAACTTTTAAATTGATCAAAAGAAAGCTTTTAAGGAATGGTTTAAAATGGTGACTGGTTATTATCAATTAAAAGTATTATAATAATTTTTTGTTCACTAGAGTTGTATGATAATTACATCTTTTAATACCAGCCATTTGCATTTTTTTAAAAAAGAGTTATTAAGCTTAAATATCATTCTATATATAAACAGGTTAAGAACTAAAACTGGAAAGTAGTCAAAAGTTTCCTTGGACCAGAGCTTTTACAAGAAAAGAAAACATTCCAGTTATTATCTACAAGGTCTTATATTTGCTTTTCAAGTATAAAGTTCCATATTTCACAGCAGGATGACCCGGATGTTCCTTATTTCATGTCTCTGAAATACTTACGGGTTATTAACTGAATGCTTATGATTTTTCCACCCAATTTTTGCAAAGTGTTCAATTTTTGTCCCTGTAGAGAAAGCAAACATCTATTAGTGAGTTAATGTTTTTCTGCTACTTATTAACTAATAAATGTTGCAACGGTACTTAGTGTTCTGCTAAATAATGTTACATTCTCCTCTGCATAGATATCAGTACTGAAGAGGTCAACACATAGGTATTTCTCTAGAATTAAACTTAGCTTTATCTGATGAACTGAACCAACTAATCAGCATAAGAGAAAATAATAGTTCAAACTGATCTATTCTATTTAACATAGGTTCTAATTTCAAAACCAAAAATAGAGCCTGGGTCCATACTGGTTATAAGGCAGGAAACACTGCCAGTAACTCTTCAAGGACTGTGAGCTGAAACATCCCAATGCTCCTGGGCTTAGTGAATTTTACAAGTCTCACCGTCCAGAGCCTGATAAGTATTTCATCTTCTCCCCTTCCTTTTGAGAAGGCAGTCTTTAGAAAAGTTGCATCCTGACAAGAAATATGTAAGCTTTTTAAATTCCTTAACAGAAAAAGTTAACAATAGTGTCAGGAAAACAAAAGCAAGCACACTAATGAAGTAAAACTTGCAAAACAAAAATTTTTTTCACTATTTTTGAAAAGACAAAAACCATAGAAAAGGCTTTGAATTCTCATTTGGAATTAGAAGCCAAGGAAGGGAAAAATTGTTATGTTAATGGTAGCAGAGTAAGTAGAAAGTTCCCATTTCTGTTTATCTCTAGCTTCTCTATCAAGGAGGAGGATCTTCAGAGCAGGGTGACATACGTATAACTCAGCTATGTTCTGGTTAATATTCTACCAATAACTGGATTAGAAAATTGAAGGCACTCTCACTAAAACTGAAAGTAGGAGGGACTACTATACTGTTGGACCAAATAAGCTTCAATAAGGTTTATCAATGGGATGAATCAGAGTACAATTAATTAAATGCCCATTTCTATTCTTGGATCCCCAAAACAACCTAGGAAAGGTAGCAACAACTGTAAGAAAGACTTTGAGATACTGTTCAACTACAAGCCCAGTGTAGTTACAGTGTGATGTGACTACCAGAAAAGGCTACCTATGATCACAGTACAGCAATTAGTATAGTGATAGGTCATGAAACAAGTCTAATAAGAAATAGTTAAAGAGGGGAGATTAAGCACAGGGTCAGACTGCCTTCGGATATTTAAAGAGCTACAAGGGAAAAGAAGCTTGTTCTGTGAGTCTCAGAAGACAGAAGCAATATCACGGATGGAAACTATAGGGAGACGTATTTGAGTTCAACACGAGAAAGAATACCGTAACAATTGGAATCATTTGAAAATGTAATGAGTAGCCTCAATAGGTGGCAAGTTCCTTGTCATGGGAAGTACAAATGCTGTATTATTACCTATAAGAATATTTACAAGCACCCCAAGCACGGATTGAGGCAGCTGAACTACATAAAAACACTTAGCATAGTGCCTGACGTAAGAGATATTCAATAAATGTTGGTGTCTTTTCTTCCTTCTTTCTTACCATGGGATCCAATTAATCTATGAAAGATAGTATTCCCCTCAAAAAATATTCTGCCAGTTACTTAACAGATTAAGACTGGGCACTAATGAAGGGCCTGTTGACTGCTGACTCTGAACAGTCAATTAAGATTTTTGGCTGTTAAAAGGGTGTGCCTAGCATAAATTTTATAAAGATTTCAATCTCCTTACATCAAATTTTGAAGCCACAAAAATCTGCTGATTCTATAAACATTCTTATGTATTCATTTCTAGTGCACATTCATAAGCAATTTCAAATGATAACTTAAAATTCTATGAAATTCTACAATTCCTTTAAAAATCTATTGAATAAATAATAGCTTTGCAATTAAAATACTACACCTTTAAATTTCAAATCTAGACTCGAAAACTATCCAACTATTCTAAGTGATGTAAAACTTGAGAAAAGATACACACTAAAAAGCACATCACTCACAGGGCTTCTGGATAGCTGAAGACAATGGAGACTGCCTAAATCTGCATCTCACACAGCCTCAAAAACAATACAGAATAACACGAATAAGAAATAAAACTGCACAAAACCATACCCTCAGCAAAAGCAGAAATCAGAAAATGCCAAAACTTCCAATTATCTATAAGTTACAAAAAGGGGGGAAAAACCCCACAAAACCCCAGCCGGCAATTGCTCCTAGTTCCCTGCAAGCTTTGGGGGGAGCAAGGACAGTCTGAAAAGAAAACTGATTAGAAGAGAGAAGAGGGTAGTTAGTAGCTGACCCAAGACTGCCTTAAAACTACCACAAGGAAGAGAAATAACCCTCTCCTATGTATGAAAATATTGAAGAAGTATTTCTATAGATAAAGCACGACTACAAAGAAGGGACTAATACCTATAGGAGATTTGAGGTGGCAATCTTTGAAAAGCATAGCTTCTGGGAGAGAAAAAGGGGAAAAGGAAGGGAGAGGCATCCTTTGGAAATTGGACGGTGAAGGGAAAAAGAAACAAACGGGGAAATTTTGGAGGTCTGGCAAGACAAAAAAAAGAATTAAAAAAAATCACAACCCATCTTTCAAAAAAATTATAAAATCTACTACAGAAATGGGACTTTAACTACACTGACAGAAGAGGGCACCATCAAACTAGGAATCTTGCATACCACTTCCAATCCATAAACACTCAAATCATAATGCAATAAAACTAGAAACCATTAATAAAAACTAAAAGTACACCTGGAGATTAAAAAAAATAAGTCCATGAAACATCTCTGGGGTAAATGGGGAAATACAAACAGAAATTACAGAACTTCTGGAAAAAAAAAGTTAATGAAAAAACTACGTATTAGATTCAACATGATACGTTTAAAGCAGTAATTATGAAAATTCGTAGCACTAAATACTTATCAATAAAAATGAAAAAACCATATGGAATGTTATTTAGCAATAAAAAGGAATGAAGTGCTGATACATGCTACAACGTGGATGAACCTTGAAAACATTATGCCAAGTTGTGGTGTGATTAATTACTTTTAAATGTGGCCTTTCTAGCCATGATCTTGTAACTCCCATCCAGGTAATTGGGTGGGACTGTGTGATAGGGTAATTGTGACCTACCAAGGGGACTGGTCAGTTTTGCCTTAAAAGAGAGCCAATTTCAGAGCAGAGAGGAGGATCCTACCACCACCAAAGAAGAACAGCCAGGAAGGGACAGCGAGTCCTTTGGACCCAGGATCCCTGTGCTGAGAAGCTCCTGGAAGTAGGAGAGAGAGAGAGAGAGAAAGCCGTAACCCTGTAGATGGTGAGAAGCAATGGCAGGAGAGACCCAGAAATTGAGACCCAGCAGCAGGAGACGGTAAGGTGGGCTTCCTGGCCCACAGAGAGGCTTTGGGCAGAGACTGAGGGTCAGGGAGAGGTGTGCCTGCGAGCACGGCTGGGAGGAGGCTGTCTTGATGGAAGAATTGTATCTTGAGTGTTCCTGAGCCTGAATTTTAACTGTTACTTCCCTAATAAACCCCATAATCGTGAGTATGGTCTTTGAGTTCTGTGTGGCCATTGCAATGAATTATCAAACCCAGAAGAGAAGTCGTGTTTAAACGTAAGAGAAATAGAGAAAATTACCAAGCAACTATCCCACAATAAAAGAGCCAGGCCCATATAGTCGCACAGGGGAATTCTACCAAACATAGAAAGATCAGGTAGTACTAATGCTTCAGAAATTGCTCCAAAGCATTAAGAATGAAGAAAACATCCTAATTCTTCCTATGAAGCAAGTATAAAATTAACACCTAAATTTGATAAAGACAGAATAAAAAGAGGAAATTACAAACCACTATCACTTATAAATATCAATTTAAAAATACTAAATAAAATAATAGCAACAGAACCCAGTTCCACATTAAAAAATCAATACACCATGACCAAGTGGCATTTATTCCAGGAACACAAAGTTTATACAATATTAAGGAATCTGCTAATAAAAAACTCAGTATTAATAAAGCTACGGGGTGGGGTGCATGATTATCTCCATAGATACTGAAAAAGTCTTTGACAAAATGTAACGCCCACTTCTTGATTAAAAATGAAAACACTCAAGAAAACAGGAACTGATGGAAACTTTCTTAACACAATAAAATAGATATATCTTTGTCCTGAAGGGTGGTGTAGTGGTTAAAAACTCAACTGCTAACCAAAAGGCTGACAGTTCAAATCCATCAACAGCTCCTCAGGAGAAAGATGTGGCAGTCTGCTTCCATAAAGATTTACAGCTTTGGAAACTCTATGAGGCAGTTCTACTCTGTCCTATAGGGTCACTATGAATCAGAATCAACTCGACGCAGCGGATTTGTCCTGAAGCCAACATCTCACTTAATGGGAAACGTTAAGATCAGGAACAGAACAAGGATGTCTGCTATCTCCACTACCACTGAACATTATACTAACCAATGCAATTAGATGAAATGATTAGAAGCATTAATAATTAGTAAAGAAATAAAACCATCTGTTTTTGCAGATAATATAATGTAGCAGTATATCTGGAAATCCTAATTTTATAAAATGAACTCAAACAATAAAAGAATTCAGTGAGATATTAGGTCATAAAATTAATATACAGAAATCAACAGCTTTCATATACACAAGCAATAACCAATTAAAAGATAAAACAGCAGAGAAAAATCCACTTGCAATAGAAACAAGGAAGATTAAATATATTTAGGACTAAATTTTTTTAAAAAATGAAAAATCTATACATGAGAAAAACTTTAAAACACTCCTAAAAGACACAAAGGTAGAACTGAACATTCTTAGTTCAAGTTCTGCTAAAAGGGAAATATATAGTCTTCAATACAAGAAAGGCTGAAAAATCACAGTGCTAACCACTCATCTCAAGAAGTTCGAAAAGTGAAAGAAAATTAGACCAAAGAAAAGTAGAAGGAAATAAAAAGATAAGAACAAAGTTAATAAAATCAGGAGTAGGAGAGGGAGGGGAGGAGACATAAAAGGAGAGATCAACCAAGCCAACAGTAGATTCTTCGAAAAACTAGTAAAACTGATAAATCCCTGAGAAAAAGAAGGAAGGCACTAATAATTAATCATAAGGAATAAAAAAAGGGAATATTAAAAGAGCCTAAGAAGGTGCAGTTTAATCTCTTCCCCACAATTCCTTGACTGTTGGCTGAACTTAGTGACTTCCTGCCAAAGAACAGAAAAAGGGAAAAATAGTAACTTTATCATGGAGAAAGCTGACAAACACTACTTTAGTCAAGTGGTGGTTAACTTCACCTGTGATATGATGTGGACATGATGCACCCCCTGACATGATGTGATGAGAAGGGCACTTCACCTCTGTGATATTCTTTCCAAAACCCCAGTCTAATCTAGAGAAAAATATGAGACAAACGCAGCCTGAGGACATTCTACAGATACCTGGCCAATACTCTTCAAGAATGTCAGTCATGAAAAACAAGGAAAGGCTAAGAAACCGTCACAGAGGAGTGGAGACTGGAGAGACACGATGACTATGTGTAATGCAGTACCCAGGATTGGATTCTGGAACAGAAAGGGAACGTTGATGAAAAAACTGGTGAAATCCAAATAAAATCTGTGGTTTAATTAATAATAACGTTATCTGTGCTGGTTTCTTAGTTTTGATAAATGTGCCAATGTTAACAATGGGGGAAACTGGGTAAGGGGTATATGGAAATTCTCTGTACTAATCTTTGCAACTTTTCTATAGATCTAAAATTATTTCAAAATAAAAAGGTTATTCTTAAAAATTCAATATTCAAAAATGTTAAAAAGATATTATGAATAACTTTATTGGAAAGTTCAGATGAAATTGGAAAATTTAGATAAAACAATCAAATACCAGAAAAATACAACATCCTAAAATCAACACAACAGAAAATCTCAATAGTCTCATAACTAATAAAACTTATAATTAAAAATTTGCCATAAAGAAAACTCCAGATCCAAACAGTTTTACTACAGAATTTTTCAAAGATGTAGGGAATAAGTATTATCAATCTAACATAAACTCTTCTGGAAAATAGACAGGAAACAAAACTCTCCCCATCTCCTTTTATGAGACCAACATCATCTTGATACCTAAACCTGACAAGCGACAAGGACATTACAAGAAAGGAAAATTACAGGTCAATCTCATCCATAAACACAGATGCAAAAAAATTCTTTAACAAATACTTACAAACTAAATTTAGCTATACATGACAAAGCTGGGTTTATTCCAGGAATACCAGGTTAGTTTAACATCCAAAAAATCACTACAGTCCCCACATTAACAGGACAAAAGAGGGGAAAAAAATATGATCATCTCAACTGTTGCAGAAAAAGCTTTAGTAACATTCAACGTTCATTCATGACAAAACTCTTAAAATAGGGATGAAAGGGAACCTTGTTAATCTGATAAAGAGTATCAGCAAACATATTTAGTTGTGATACTCTAAAAGTTTTTCCCTGAAATTGGGAATAAGACAACATGCCTAGTATCATCTCCTCTAAATAACATCATATTAGAGGACCTAGATAATTTGAAAGCAAAAGGTCATTTAAAAGACAGGAAAGAAAGAAAAGACCAAAATGGATGTCAGAAGAGACTTCTCTTGCTATTCTCTTGAACACAGAATAGCTAAAGTAAATGGAAGAAATGATGAAGTAAAAGCGGTGAACAGAAGATTTCAAAGGGCGGCTTGAGTAAACAAAGTACTATAATGACATGTGCAAAGATCTGGAGATAGAAAACCAAAAGAGAAGAAGACGCTCAGCATTTCTCAAGCTGAAAGAACTGAAAGAAAAATTCAAGTTTCGAGTTGCAATACTGAAGAATTCTATGGGCAAAATAGTGAACGATGCAGGGAGCATCAAAAGAAGACGGAAGGAATACACAGAGTCACTGTACCAAAAATAACTTGTTGATGTTCAACCATTTCAGGAGGTAGTATATGATCAAGAACTGATGGTTTTAAAGGAAGAAGTCTAAGCTGCACTGAAGGCATTGGCAAAAAATAAGGCTCCAGGAATTGACAGAATACCAACTGAGATGTTTCAACAAATGGATGCAACACTGGAAGCACTTACTTGTCTATGCCAAGAAATGTGGAAGACACCTACCTGGCCAAGTGATGAAATGGATACATATTTGTGCCCATTCCAAAGAAAGGTGATCCAACCAAATATGGAAATTATCAAACAATATCGTTAACATCACACGCAAGAAAAATTTCGCTGAAGATAATTCAAAAACCATTGCAGCAGTACATCAACACAGAACTGCCAGAAATTCAAGCTGGATTCAAAAGAGGACATGGAACCAGGGCTATCACTGCTGATGTCAGATGGATCCTGGCTGAAAGCAGAGAATACCAGAAAGATGTTTACCTGTGTTAATTATCGACTATGCAAAGGCATTCAACTGTGTGGATCATAACAAATTATGGATAACATTGCAAAAAATGGAAATTCCAGAACACTTAATTGTGCTCATGAGGAACCTGTACAAACACCAAAAGAAAGAAAAAAAGGGGTACTCCATAGCTTAAAAGTAAGAAAGGTGTGCATCAGGGCTGTATCCTTTCGTCATACTTATTCAATCTGTATGCTGAGCAAATAATCCAAGAAGATGGACTATATAAAGAATGCAGCATCAGGATTGGAGGAAGACTCATTAACAACCCCTTGACTCTGAGTTTGGCCATGTGATTTTGCTTTGGTCAACAGAATGAGGGAGAAGCGACAATGTGTCTGTTCTAAACCTAAGTCTCACAAAGCTTTGCATGTTTCAGATTACTCTCTCGTGCTTCCGTCATCACCATGAGAAGGACAAGCCAGGGCTGGCCTCTGGTCCCAGGAGGAGGACGAGAAACACATGGAGCAGAGCTGACCCAGTCAAGCGAGACCAGAACAGAGTGCCTAACCAACCTGCAGTCATATGAGGAAACCCAGCAAAGAGCTGAACCCAGCTTAGGTCAGCCAATACCTAGCCGACCTACAAACCTGTGAAATAAATAAATGCTACTTAAAATCCCTGACTTTTGGGATGGTTTGTTACACAGCAGTAGCTAATTGATACACTGTTGTATTTCAGTGCCTAGAACAATACTTGGAATATTATGAGAGCTCAGTAATTTCTTTGTTTGTTTATTACTGTAGTTTAAGTGAAAGTTTACATTTCAAGTTACTCTCTCATACAAAAATTTATACATACACTGTTATGTGACCCTAATTGCTCTCCCTATACTGTGACAGCACACTCCTCCTTTCCATTCCCGATTTCCCATGTCCGTTCAACCAGCTCCTAACCCTCTCTGCCTTCTTGTCTCATCTCCGGACAGAAGAGCTCAATAATTTCTTGATGAATTATTTAACTGAAAACGAGAAGGAATAGCCAAAGAGGTGAGAGAAAATCCAGGAGAATAAGATGTCACAGAAGCCAAGAGAGGAGAATATTTCAAGATGAGTGTTGGTTGGGACTAATGAAACTGAGAAAGTCTATTAAATTAGGATTGAATATGGCAACGTGGTGGTTACTGGTAGCCTTGAAAAGAAAAGAAGCCAGACTAGATAGACTGAGGAAAAAAACTGGTAAGAAATGTCTACAAAAAAGAAAACTCCCATAGTCAAAAATTGGCAGTGTTTTTCCATACCATCCCACCATTCTTCCTCTAAGGTTTTTTACCTTTCGGATTACTTGACCCTGGCTATAAAACCTGGGATTTTCTTTTTTTTCCTGCAAAGAATAGGAATGTTAAACTTTCAAAGATGATTTTGTCTTTATTATCTCATAGTATACAACAAGGCACTGGTTCAAGATAATACAACAGTACAGACTCTACCAGCACTATCCCATGCTTGAGTTAAATATCTAAAACAGGCCAGTCATTGCCCATCAGTCAAACAACTGGGGTATTTACCTACTAAATAAAAATCAACTATAAAGTTTCAACCACATAAAATACTATAGCATAGCAGATAATGATGGACTCCTAATGAATTCAAGCACTAAAAATGAAATTTGGCTGTATAAACCTATTGCTAAGAGCAAGCTTTTAGTCTCATTATCATATTTAGAACTGATAATCCTCAATTTATAGTCCATGATTAAAGGAGACAAGATTTGTATCATTTTTCCCACTTTAATTTTTTATTATGGAGTATTCTAGGTACTTCCTGTATGATGTCTCACATATAAATGTTTTAACTCTCCAACTAAATTTTACAGGGACTATTTCTTCAACTTAATTAAAAAACCATTTTACATCTTCATATCCTGGCATCTACCACAGTTCTTTAATAAATACATACTGCTTTCATCTCATGTATATACCTAGTAACAAGCCTTAAAGTTTTTTATCATACCATATTTTTCCATGTGCTCTTCTCCAGCACGTCCAAACATCTGAGAAGCCACTGGGTGTGCAGACATTCCATATTTATTGACCATGACCTCAAGATGTTTATCAAGTGGAATGGTCCTATCTGGAAACTAAAAGAGGAGAAAAAACTAAATTAAAAAAGTAGCTGACAAAATAACTGTCTCTTTCAACTACTGCAGTGTTACTAAGATAATCTGTTTATTCTAAGAGCACAGTAAATCATAAATGGTCAATGTGAATAAATCCAGTAAATGCTTTGCAGGGAAATATGGCGAGAAAGAAAAAAAGAATTAAGTGATCAAAGAGGTATTAATTCTTTCAGGAAATAGTTATTGAACATTCAGTATGTGCCAGTAAAATGTTCTATCTTACTGAAGATAGAACATTGAACAAAACAGATAAAGTCCCTGCTCATCTGGCATTTATATTGGGAGATGAGAGGAAGGGTAATGGGAACAAAAATATAAATAATAATGCTATGGAGTTGTTATCATTAGGTGCCAACGAGTCAGTTCTGACTCATAGCGACCCTATGTACAACAGAACGAAACATTGCCCAGTCCTACGCCATCCTCACAATCATTGCTGTGTTTGAACCCATTGTTGCAGCCATTGTGTCAATCCATCTCATTGAGGGTCTTCCTCTTTTTCACTGACCCTCTAATTTACCAAGCATGATGTCCTTCTCCAGGGACTGGTCTCTCCTGATAACATGTCCAAAGTATGTGAGATGAAATTTTGCCATTCTCACTTCTAAGGAACATTCTGGCTGTACTTCTTCAGGACAGATTTGTTCCTTCTTCTGGCAGTCCATAGTATATTCAATATTCTTTGCCAACACCATAATTCAAAGGCATTAATTCTTCAATGTCTTCCTTATTCAGTGTCCAGCTTTCACAGGCATATGAGGTGACTGAAAATACCATGGCTTGGGTCAGGCGCACCTTAGTCCTCAAGGTGACATCTTTGCTTTTTAACACTTTAAAAAGGTCTTTTGCAGTAGATTTGCCCAGTGCAACACGTTGTTTGATTTCTTGACTGCTGCTTCCATGGCCGTTGATTTTGGATCCAAGTAAAATGAAATCTGGGACAACTTCAATCTTTTCTCCATTTATCATGATGTTGCTTATTGGTCCAGTTGGGAGGATTTTTGTTTTCTTTATGTTGAGGTGCAATCCATCCTGAAAGCTATAGTCTTTGATCTTCATATTGATCTACATCAGCAGCACCATCATCAGTAATAAAAATAATGCTATAAAGAAGAATATATCTGGGTAAGAGGATAGAGACTGAAGATAGGTAGTGTCATGTTATAGACAGTAGTCAGGGGAGGTCTCATTGATGAAGTGATACTTGCGTAAGGATGTGAAGGGATAAGGGGGCAAGCCCTTTGGATAACGTTGGAAGAAGAATATTCTAGGCAGAGGGAACAACAACAAAGACTTTAAGGCAGGAGTATGTTTAGATGTTTGAGAAAAGGAGTAAATTAGGATTAGGATAAAGTGATACTCAGAAAGTAGTGTCCGGTTAAATGTTTAATAATAGACTTGCTGAGAGAAAAGGCCCTGATTAGTAGCATTTGCTGTTTGTTGTGCTATAAATACTCCCACCATGGCCAGCCTGAATCTGTTAATATGATGTCACTGAAAGCAAAGATGGAAAGACATGTACATATTTGGATCTTGTAAGCTGGTACAAGCCAGTACACATCAGTTCCAGCAAACCACTAATTAAACCTAAGCATATCAATAACCATTACACTAAATGTGAAGGATATAAACTCCTACATTAAAAGACAGAGACTGTTACAGTGTTAAAAACAAGGCCCAATTATATACAGCCTACAAAAACCCAATTCAAATACAACGACCAGAACAGGTCAAAGGATAAAAAAAGATATACTATTCTAATTCTAATAAAAAAATAAGTTGGAGTGGCTATGTTACCATCAGACAACATAAATGTCAGATCAAAGAATATTACAAGGGGTAAACAAGCGTATTTCATAATGAAGGAGTCAATTTATCAAGAGGACACAATAATCCTAAATGGTTACATACCTAATATTAGAGGTCCAAAATATATGAAACAAAAACTGACAGAACTGAAAGAATAAATAGACAAATCCACAGATATAGTAGGAGATCTCAATACCCCTCTCTCAATAGTTTATAGAACAAGTAGACAGAAAATCAGTAAGGATATCAAAGACTTGACCAACATTATCAACAAACTGGAATTAACTAGCATTTATAGAATACTCCACCCAATAACAATAGAGTACATATTTGTCTTAAGTACACTTGGAATATTCACCAAAATAAACCATATCCTGAGCCAAAAATCAAATCTCAATAAATTAAAAAGTATTTACATCATAACAAAGTATATTCTCTGATCACAAGAATTAAAAAAGAAATAAGTAACAGACAGATATCTGGAAAATGCCTAAATACTTGGAAACTAAGCAACACACTTCTAACTCATGGGTCAAAAAACAAATCACAATTAAAATTACAAAATAATTTGAACTAAATGAAAGCAAAAACATGACATAACAAAATTTGTGGTATTCTGTTTAATATTTAGAAAGAAATCTATAGCATTAAATGTCCGTATTAGAAAAGAATAAAGGTTTAAAATCAATGACCTAAGCTTCCAAATTAGGAAACTAGAAGTAAAGAGCAAATTAAACCCAAAGTAAGCAGAAGAAAGGAAATGTTAAAGATCAGAGCAAAAAGCAATGAAATATAATGGAGAGAAATCAGTGAAAACAAAAGGTGGTCGTTTGAGAAGATCAGTAAAACTAATAAACAATTAGTCATGGAAAAAAGACAAGACAAAAATTACCAATATCAGAAGAAGAGAGAGGACATAGCCACAGATCCGACTTTAAAGGGATACTAAGGGAATAACATGAACTTTTTGCCAATAAATTTAAGAATTTAGATAAAATGGACAAATTCATTGAAGGACACAACTATCAAAGCTCACTCAAGAGAAAAATATATAACCTGAACATAATATATTAAAGAAATTGAACTTGTAGTTAAAAACCTTCCCAAAAGAAATCCTGGACATATTAGCATTGTGGTGATGGCTGCACAACTCTGTGAATATGCTGAAAAAACAATAAAGTATATACTTTAAACAGGTGGATTTTTATGGTATGTGAAATCTATCTCAGTAAAATTGTAAAAGAAAAGAAACCAAAAACTAACCAATTATTTCTATGATAACATAGCCCTACTTATTTTCTAAAACATATAAAGGTGGTTTAGATCTTTTAGTTTGTGGTTAAACAAAAGAGACGTTATTATTTATTTGCTTTTACTCTTCTGGATTTTGGAGAATACTGTCTTGATAAAGTATAAAGTTTCCAGAGTAGCTCCATAATCCTATGGCAGGGGTGACAATAAGTTTAGAAACAAACAGAAAAGGACTCAGTCTCAATATTAATCAAAGAAATACAAATTAAAATAGCAATGGCATATTATTTCAACTAACAAACTGTCAAAGATCAAAAAAATGATTAAAAAAAACTGTCAAAGATCACTGCAATGTGCACTGTTGAGGAGAAGTATGTGGTAAAAAATAAAACAGGTACTCTCATATGCTTTTGGTGAAAACACAAAATACTATAATCCTTCAGGTAAAACAAATCATTAAAAGTGTATATGGTGTAAATGGTTAAGCGCTCAACTACCAGCCAAAAGGCTGGCAGTTCAAACTCCCCCAGAGGCACCTGGGAAGACAGCCCGGGTGATCTGCTTCCAAAAGGTCACAGCCTTGAAAATCCTACGGAGCAGTTTCACTCTGAGCACACGTAGGGTTGCTAGGAGTCAGAATCGATTCGATGGGAACTAACACAACATATTAACTAACAACAACATATCTTTGACTCACCAATTCCACTCTAGGAATGTATACCAGAAATAAATAATCATGTGCACAAAGATATATGTCTAAGAATGCACATGAATTGTTTACAAAAATAACAAAAATTTTAATACTACTACTAAATGACAAAATCCAACCAAACAAAAGAGAATCAAAATTAATAATTCTATAATGGAAAAATATTACTTACAAACAACAGGGAAAATTAAGCCATTTATATATAGGTAGTGTGCTAATTTCCTCTTTCTTCAGAGCAGAGAGTTAATAGAAACTGTCTAAAGTTGAAACATAGAGTTTTAAAAAATTACTTCAACGTCAAATTTTCCATATTTTTTTCCTAGCTGGAGAGGTATGTTTCTGGAAATATCTTTCGTGGTAAAGAAAGATTTTTATGATGTTCAGCAATTCCTCAGTTGCACTATAGTTTCTTTTTCTTTGGTTAAATTTGAGAAAAATTAAATTGAACATCTTTGTTTAAAATAGTATATAAAGTATGAACCTTTTATCTAAAATTATTTCTATCCTTTCATCTATAAGCACATATACAGAAATGCATAACATGCTGCTTACTAAACACTGATGATGGTGGGATATTGGGAGACTTTTTTTTCTTCTTTAGACTTTCCCATATTGCTTGAGTTTCTTCATAACCAGCATATATCCCTTTTTCAAAGTAATACCATCATCATTCTTTAAAAGAAAAAGCTCATATCATTTACTGAAAAATATCACTTTGGAATCTATCCTAAGAAAATAATAAAAATATTGAAATTACGTTCATCGTAAAAACCAAAAACCCATTGCCATCAAGCTGATTCCGACTCATGGCGACCCTATAGGACAGAGCAGAACTGCTCCATAGGGTTTCCAAGGAGCGGCTGATGGATTTGAACTGCTGACCTTCTGGTTAGCAGTCAAGCTCTTAACCACTGTGCCACCAGGGCTCCAAGTTCATCACTGTATAATTTATAATAAGAAGAAATAAGAAATAATCTAAATACCCCAAATAGGAGCAGCATTCAGTAAACTACAATACAGCCATGTGATAAGCTGCAATGCGGTCATTAAAAATTTACTTACAAGTAACTTTTAACATGAAATAATACTCAAATTATAATGTTAAATGAAAAATGAAGGATATCAAATTATATATACAACATAATCTCAACTATTCTTTTGTTAAATTAGCAAATCGTTAATGATGATTGTCATTACAGGTGATTATTTCTTCCGTATTATTTCTGTATTCTTCAATTTTCTATGAGTTTTACAAGGAAAATAACATTTTTAAGACAAGCAGCTACCATGAGCATAAGCCATGAAAATGTAAGAAGTAGCTATAAAAATCTGTGTACGTTTTCAAACACTTGTGGACATGCATACAAACACTCATGAAAGTTTGGCATCAGTCATTCCAAATAACTGGGGATAAAATACCTATTTTGCCCTCTGCCCTGGGAAGTTAAAAGCAACAGTCCTAGTTCTCACCTAATCATCTCTGAGTTATAAAAAGACTACAATAGACACAGAGACACTCACTTTAACTCCCAAGGGCCCCTTGTCCATCTTCTCAAACCCAAGAGCCAAAACACAATCTGCCACACCTTAAAAGAAAGTTTAAATATGTTGAAAAATCAAATTTCTAGATATCCCAAATAAAATACCATTAAATACTTTAAGTACGACAATTTATATGAATATTTATAGAATATTTGAAAATACAGAATATGATATATACCCAAAAGAAGTGAAAACATATGGCCACAAAAAAACTGTACACAAACGTTCATAGCAGCATTATTCATAATAGCCAAAAAATGGAAATAACCCAAATGTTCATCAACTGATAAACAGATAAACAAAATGCAGTATATCCATACAATGAAATATTATTTGGGCATAAAAAGGAATAAAGTACCGATACATGCTACAACATGGATGAACCTTAAAAACATTATGCGAAATGAAAGAAGCTAGATACAAAATTGTATGATTCCACTTACATTTGTTCAGAATAAGTAAATTCATAGAGACAGAAAGTAGATTAGTAGTTGCCAGGGACTAGAAGGAAGGGGGAATGCTGAATGACTGCTAATAGGTATGGGGTTTTCTTTCTGAGGTGATGAAAATGTTCTAAAATTAGATAATGGTAATGGCTACACAACTCTGTGAATACACTGAAAACCAGGGAATTATACACTTTAAAGGGGTAAATCTTATGGTATGTGGATTGTATCTCAATAAAGCTGTTATTTCTTAAAAAGATGTTATGGACTGAATTGTGTCCTGCCAGAAAATGTGTGGAACTCCTGGCCTTTGTACCTGTGAATGTGATCCTATTTGGAAATAGGGTTTTCTTTTGTTATGTTAATGAGGTCATGGTCATTCCAGTTGAGGGTGGATCCTAAACCTAACCATTTCTGAGTTATAAAAAGACTAGAATAGACACAGAGACACACAGTGAGAAGACAGACAACATGTAAGACTTGTCTACAAGCAAAGGAATACCAAGCATCACTTCCAGACACCAGAAAACTAGCAGAAAGACTCACAGAAGGAATCAACAAGGCATGGAACCTGAATTGGACTTTTAGCTACCAGAACTGTGAGAAAATAAATTTCTGTTCTTTAGAGCTACTCACTTCTGGTTATTCCGTTAAGGCAGCACTAGTTAACTAAGACAAGGAAATATAAAGAAATCCCTCCAATGGCTATGTGGAGAAATGATTAAAGGGGGACAATGACCCTACATTTATTTAAATACACTAAACACATAAGCGCTCCTCACCTCCCTGAATCAGCTGCCGGCCCATGAACAAAGCAGTAGAACCAGTGGAACAGTTATTGTTGACATTGATTATAGGAATTCCAGTCAGTCCCAAACTGTGATAGACAGCCCTCTGCCCACAGGTAGAATCACCTGTATAGAAAGGAAACAAAAATTTTTAATACCCATAACCCAGGAATTATGGAGCTGCAGTGCAACATAATACTACATTATGGTTTTCTCAGTATTATGCCTTTGCCTAGCATCCAATATGGGCAGGACAATAAACAGATTATCAACATCTTACTCAGAAATAGTTTTAGCATTCAGGAAAAAAAACCAAACCCATTGCTGTGAAGTCGATTCCGACTCATAACAACCCTATAGGACAGAGCAGAACTGCTCTACAGAGTTTCCAAGGAGCGCCTGGTGGATTTGAACTGCCAACCTTTGGTTAGCAGCCAGGGTTTCCATTTTAGCATTAAGCATCATTTACTCTGTAAATATAAAAAATTCTCAAGTCACAAAACATACGCATTTTTTTATTTTTATATAATTTTTATTTACTGTTATTGTTGAGACTATACACAACAAAATATGCACCAATTCAACAGTTTCTACATGCACCATTTAGTGATATTGATTACATTCTTCAAGTTGTGTAACCATTCTCACCTTCCTTTTCTGAGTTGCTCCTGCCCCATTAACATAAATTTACCACCCGATAAGGTTCCTACCTAATCTTTTGAGTTGCTGTTGTCAAAATGATCCCATATAGATAGATCTTAAAAGAGCACAATTCTTTACTAGTTAAGTTAAACTACTGTTTGGTTTTAAGAAGATTTCAGGGGATTTTTTTTTTTTTTTAATATTTTACTGTACTTCAGGTGAAGGCTTACAGAACAGATAGTTTCTCATGTAACAGTAACACACATGCTGTTTTATGACATTTGTTAACAACCCCACAACATT